AGAACTTGACTCAGCTCATAAAATATCAAGTTTCAGTACTAGATGATGACTCAGTCAGTAAAGTGCAGGCAATCCCCAAAACCCATGTAAAAAGTCAGGTCTATCTTGCATGTGCCCATAATCCTAGCACTGGGGGTGAGGATGGGAGAATCCCTAGTGCTTATAGGCCAGTCAGCCAGGCTAGCCAAACTATGAGTTTCTGTCCAGTGAAAGACTATCTTAAAAAAATGAGGTGGAAACTTGGTTGAAGAAGATACCCAGTGTTGACCTATATTCTCCATATACATGTGCACATCCAACAAACACACACACACACACACACACACACACACACACACACACACACGCATAAACATATATGCACAAAGGTCATGTTTCACCAGAAACATGGAGAAGCATTGCTCATCTATAAAAAAATATCTGGCTTTGCTAGTTTCATAGCTTGCAATGCCTTTCAATTGCCTAAAGTAATTAATACATTTTACACACCAACCTACTGTGCGAGAGTACGTGTGTGTGTGTGTGTGTGTGTGTGTGTGTGTGTGTGTGTGTTAGACACAAGGTATTTTGGTATTGCATATTCTATTTCATTTAACATATTATTAAAATACTTATTTGGAACCACAGGACCTGTAACCTCCAGATCATTCCCATTATGTGGTGTGATTCTGAGCTCAGACTACCCAGGCTCAAATCCCACTTTTACTTACTGTAAGGTATTTGTCAAGTGACTTCACCTTTCACTGCCTCAAATATTTATTATAAAACTCATTTGATTCCAAGGATTATTGAAAAAGTTAAATGAGAAATTATTTATCTAGTTAAGTGATACATTTATAGCTGAGCATGGCTCGTAAAGGAAGGAGGAGCTTGCAAATGTCAGCTGCTTCCTAGTATTATCTCTAGAAACCAAAAGAACAAAATTGCATCATACTGAGGGTTCCTATGCTCCGAAATCAACTCTCTTTGTGGAGCTGATTTCATTCTCTTTCTCCCACCATCTATTCCTGCCACTCCAAGTTTTTTCACAGCAGGCTTCCTTCAGACTGATCACCTTTGTTCTAGAATACTCCTTGACTAAGAAGACTCCTCCCTCTAATATGCATACAAACAAATCATGTAACAACCCCATGCCTATGTTCAGAGGAGTTCATAGGAGTGAACAGAAGATTCTTCTCCTTGGAGAGATCCACCTGTGGCCTGGCCCTAGGTTGGCACCTGAGACTGTTAGCCAGTTCTCTATACTGGCTTAAAATGTTCCCTGAACAATAATGGGCTCACGCTGTCTAAACTGTGTGTGCACTGTGGTGTGTGGTGGACCCCTCCTTTTCTCCTGGGGGTCTGGGATTTAGGATCATACCAGACAGAAGGCACATGCCTACCTAATCAGTCCCAGAAAATATCTTGGCCGCTTGGTAACTAACAAGCTTCGTGGTAGAAGCCACTTTACATGTGTTGTCACAACTCACTGGGCCAATTGACTGTGTCCCTCCCGTGTGACTTCACTGGAAAAGCACTTAGAGAGCTGACCTAGTTTCCTCTGGACTCCACCCCGTGAGCTGCTTCCCTTTGCTGATTTTGCTTCATTTGTTTCCATGAAATAAATCTTAGTCACAGCATGCCAAGTCCTGGATGCCTCTGCCAATCCCACCTAGGGGAGGCCTTGGTTCCCCAAACACACATGCTCCCTTAGAAAGGTGCTATCCTGGGAGAGATCTTCCCTCCACAATTTCAGTGTTCTCTGACCAGAATCATCCTTCATGGTGGAGAGAGCATCCAGAACAGAGACACTTGGCTTCAAGGTCACTCCTTCCTTTATGACTACACTATGCTTTAATGCCTTTGGCAGTGCCTTGGGAGGACTATGAAAACAATACCAGTTACAGAAGGGACCAGGACTCAGTGAACATTCAATAGATGTAAATTTTTATAGCAGTGTTTAACCATCGTTGACAGCTATAGCGTCTTCCAGTAGCTAATGGGTCACTTGTCAGATGACTCTGCAAGCAACCTCTGTGGGAACTGCTACAGGAGAGCCTGTGTGGGGGAGATAGACAATTGTGACTGAAAATGGGAGGTTCAGATGTGTGCTAGCCAGTACATAGCATTCAAGGAGAACGGGGTAAAGACTGCAAAGAAAACTCACACTAACATGTCCCAAAGACACAAGTACCTTCCTCATGAGATGCAGAGGCTAAATAACTCACCAAGCCACAAGATAACTGAAGCACTACAGGTCGTATTCCTATGTCCCATTGCCTTAAACAAATAATACCAAATACTGAAACTCCAGCCGTTTTTTTAACAATTCGAGAGGCCTGCTACCTACATTAGCCCCTGTTGGGCCCCTGGCCTGTTTACATGGTGGATTAATAGGTCCTGGAATGCTTCATAAATTGAGGTCAGGGTTTACTGCTTCAGATTTCACTTTTATTCCTTTCTTCCTGTTCCTCCCTGTCACCCATCTGGCCACCACTGTCAACAAAGGGCCTTTGCTGCTTGGTCAATGGTCAGTCATAAATGGTGATGTGCTGTGCCATTCTGTGGCATGATGGGCCACACACTTGCTACTTAGAAAATAAGAGAAAGTACTTGGCTGGCATGAGCAAAGCCCTGGGAACCCCAACACCATTTAGACAGCAAATAACAACAACAACACCCTTTAAGTTAAAAAAAAAAGTTGATGTTTAAAATCCTACCTCAAAAAAAGCACACGGAACAAAGCATGAGGAGATTGTTAGAATTGAAGTCAATTAATTCACAGCCAACCCCTAATCAGGAACCTCATTTCCCCCTGAGTTTTAGTTTCCTAACTGAAAAGGAATGACAAATTTTTTAAATGACAGAATGTATCAAAAATGTACAAAGTAATATATAATCCAAGCATGTATACACACATACATAAGTAGTATTATACTGCTGAATATACAATCCATAAATACACATTTTTGTTTTTATTTGACATTTACAAATTGAATATTTCCTTTCTCCGTTGAATCCAGTTTGTGTTGCTCAGCTATTTTAGGGGCTGGGGCCTGCCCTAGGGTGTGGTCAGCCTATCAGGGGGCATATCATTAAAAGAAACTGACTGTCCTTCTCCCAGTAGCTATCAAATGTCAATAGCTCTTCAGCTAAGCATGGGATTACAAGTCTATGTTGGGATTTTGTTTGGCCAGAGCTTTCAAAAGCTTGTGCAAGCTGTCACAATTGCTGTGGGTTCATATGTGCATCTGTCCTGCCATGTCTGGAAAACACTGTTTCCTTCATTTTACCAATCTTGCCATCCCCTCTTATAAAAAGATGGGGTGCATGGTGATTTGAATGAAAGTGGCCCCATAAGCTCATAAGGAGTGGCACTATTTGGAGGAGTGGCCTTGTTGGAGTTGATGTGGCCTTGTTGGAGGAAGTGTCTCACTAGGGATAGGCTATGAGGTTTCAGAAATTCAGCCAGGCCCAGTGTCTTATTCTCTCTTCCTGCTGCCTGTGGATCCAGATGTAGAACTCTCAGCTCCTTCTCCAGCACCATGTCTAACTGCATGCTGCCATGCTTCCTACCATGAAGCTCTGGTCCTCACAGCTTTAGGTTTTTGTCGTGGATTGAATAAAAATGGCCACCATGGAGAATGGCACTCTTAGGAGGTGTAACCTTATTGAAGTGGCCTTGTTAGAGGAAGTGTGTCCCTATGGAGGGTGGGCTTTGAGGTTTCAGAAGCTCAACCTAGGCCCAGTGTTTAACTCTTCTTTCCTGCTGCCTGAGGATCCAGGTATGGAACTCCCAGTCCCTCTCCAACACCATGTCTGCCTGCACTCTACCATGCTTCTTGCCATGATGCTAATGGACTAAATCTTTGAGCCTGTAAGCCAGCCCCCAATTAAATGTTTCCTTTTATAAGAGCTGACATGGTCATGGTGTCTCTTCACAGCAATAGAAACCATAACTAAGACAGGATGTGACATGAATGTCTGATTTTGGGATGAGTACTCCAGTCATCTGTACATTGATTATGGTGGTCTCTTTTAACTGCTATCTACTTCAAGGACCATTCTTACATGTACACTTACAAATAAGCAGACATTAAGCCTAATCAGAGCCAGAGATAAATAAATACATCTTGCTTGCTCACTTGCTTATGTTTAGCTCTATTTCTTGACTCTTAAATAGTTCAAGACTCCCTGCCTAGGGAATGGCACTACCCACAGTATTCCTATATCAGTGAACTTGAGACAACCCCCCAGAGACACACCCACAGACCAATCCAATAGATACAGCAATCTGCAACTTCCTGATATTAAGTGTTTGTTTTCTAGGACAATATTATTTTTGTCTGCAACTTCCTGATATTAAGTGTTTGTTTTCTAGGACAATATTAACTTTCCCACCTCACACCACCAACAGTGGAGTCATGACTCTTACCCAGATTTGCCTACTTCAAAATTTACTCTCTTAATCATGCTACCAGCCTAGGAGGAACTGTTCATGTGTAGACACCTCCGTAGCCCACCACAAAAAGACCATGTCTCAGCAAAGACACTGTGAGTGGCACCCGCTCAAGAAATGCAGAAATTGAGACTAGCAAGACGGTTCAGCAGTTAAAGGCACTTGTCACCAAGCCTGACAACTTGAGCTAGATCCCTGAAACCCACATTGTAGAAACCAGCTCTCACAAGTTGTTCTCTGACCTCCACAAATGTGCCAAATTATGTTTATGTGTGTAACACACACACACACACACACACACACACACACACACACACACACACACGTATACACATATAGAGCAAATAAATAAATGTAAAAAATTAAAAGGAAACACAAAAATTATTATCTTCCAACAGTACCCCAAAAGATATTGATAAGTAATAGCTAATAATTCTTTGAAAGAGTGGAGACATGCATGGTCATACATATGTCTTGCAATTTTACAATAGCAATTATATAAACCTGAACTGATTTGTTTGTCCTGAAGTTTTTGCATAAGTCAAAAGCACATAGCACTTACCTGAAGGATTTTATTGGCTGTTATTACCGGAGCCTTGTCATTTACAGACTCAACAGTCACAAAAAGAGTCTGAGGCAGACTCTGTTTCCCAAGCTCTGAGCTGTTTGCCAAGATGGTGAGACTGTCCATTAACTTCTCAGTGCCATTATGAACATAGTAAATCAACTTCTGCTCCATCTGAAACCAAACCAACAAAAGCACTCAATCCCAAACCATGACCAAACTGCTAAAAAAGAAGTCTGAGCTTAAGAGTCACAGAAGCATGTCTTCATACCATGAAGTCTGAGTAAGCATCAGAGTGGGAACTATGATGGATGGCATCACACTTCATCCTGAGAGTAAGTGAAATACCACTGCACCCTAAGATAGGTGTAGGGAAAGGGCACCCTAAGATAGGTGTAGGGAAGGGATAAGCAATGCAATGTGGTGTAGCAACAAGAACGCTGGATTAGAAGCAGAAGACTTGAGTTTAAGTGCCACTTCTAACAGTAATATGTGCTGGGTGTGCATAAGTCAGCCTTCCCACCAATGGGACACCACAATAAAGTTCAAGTCCTACTTGCTTATTTAAAGTAACTATGTTTAAAGGTTTTGATTGTTGTATTTGACAATTCCAACTGTTAGGGTTAGGCTCTGCTGGGGTGTCATTTCTCTTCCTTGGAAACATGGATCAGGGAAATTATTAAGTTCCCTTAAACATATTTTCTGATCTAAGGAGGCATTGTTTCTTTGATTGTTCTCTGTGTCTGAGTGTTATGTGTGACAGTGAGTTTTAATTGTCAGTTTGAGGCAATTTAGATTCACCTGGAAAGAGGGTCTCAATGAGGGACTGTATCTATTGGATTGGTCTGTGGGTGTGTCTCTGGGGGGTTGTCTCAAGTTCACTGATATAGGAATACTGTGGGTAGTGCCATTCCCTAGGCAGGGAGTCTTGAACTATTTAAGAGTCAAGAAATAGAGCTAAACATAAGCAAGTGAGCAAGCAAGATGTATTTATTTATCTCTGCTCTTGATTATGGATTTGATACAAGTTCTGCCCCTCAACTCCCCTGCTATGATGGACTATTACCTGGAATTATAAGCAGAAATAAACCCCTTTCCCTCTAAATCACTTTTTGTGGGGGTATTTTATCCTAGCAATAGAAATGTAAGTAGGACTTCCTAATCTTGAGCCCTCACTTTCATAATAAATCATGTCTCTCTTAAATTAATATACATCTCCTATAGACAGACAATCATAGAATATATTACAATCAAATTATTCTGCCCCAGAAGATTTCTTTCACAGTAATAAAGCAAATGTAACATTTACTTTTATCCCTGTTAGATTCAATCTTTTTAATTTCAGTTCTGAAATTGTCACTGGATGGTGTAGTTATTCCTCTTTGATTTGTAGAAACCAAAAATCTGATTAGATTTCTTTTCCTTCTTTTAGACTGAACTACTGGAAATACTAAAGACTACAGTTCAGTATCAGAGATCAAGGGCATGTTCAAGCAAGATGGGGATTTAGCTTTAATGAGTCTGCAACCAAAACACAATGGCAAGAACTTCCAATGCCCCAAAGGAGTTGTTAGAATTCTGAACAAATCTCTGGGGCTGTGTTTGTTTTGACAAAATTTAGCCAAAAAATTTAACAGTACCCATTCCTGTGTCGCACTTCCTTTGAGCAAAGTCTTTTGATCTTACAGGGGTGTTTCTGACAGGGGTGAAAAGTTCAGTCCCCTCAAGGGAAAATCATGGCCACTCATATACAGGTGCTATGTGGGTAGAAGATTCCAGATAACAGGCATAACCCCAGGTTCCTAGAATATGCTGTGTTAAACTACTGAGAACAAACAATGAGAGGAGCTGATCATAAGACTGGAGAACTCAGAAGTAAAAGCTCCTTAGGAACATTGACCGTGCTCACTTTCAGGACACTTTTCCTGGAGAAATACACCACTCCCCCCCAAATTACACACCATTTAATGAGTAATTTGTCCCAAAATTGCATACTATTTAATAATATTTGACTGAAAGCTGAGAAAGTGTGTCTATTTCTACCCTTTGAAATCCAGAAAAATATCTGAGGATCAGATAAAGGCCCCAACCCTTCCTAGCTCCTTTTTCTGGTTTATTTATTTTTCCTATAGTACTAGTAATCTTCATCCAGCATGCTATGTATTTCACACATTTCTTGTCTCTCTGCCTGCCTTGTTCCCCCACCTGGGGAGAAAACTCCACAAGGACAGGGGTTACTGCCTGATTAAATCACCACTTTGTCCCTATCACCTAACACAAGACACTCGCAAACTTCTTATTGAACAAGTGAAGCCAGGGTCTCTCCACTAAGCCACTGAAGGCTATAGACATATAGGATCAGTGTTAGTTTAAGTGAAAATGACAATATCTTAAAATCTAGAGTCTACAGGGGTTACATATAAAGAGATAGTGTAAGGAATCACCTGACAAACAAGGACACATGACCTTGTCATATATCGATGAACAGGCTACATGAAAACAGATGCCCCAGGGAACAAGTATGTCTCCACACACATATTTCAACCAGCAATTCTCTTATGAACATGGTCAGTCACTGACTTGCCTGAGATAGGGCCCAGAGCACATGAGGTCAGTGTATTTGATTCAACAGATGGAAGCCATGATTGACAGGTCCCTACATGATGTAAATGGATAGTCATCTTCCCTGGGTCAGAGGGAGAAACTGCTCTCCTACCCTCTGCATCCTGTTCCTTCATGGCTTCCCAATGATACCTGGGTAAGTCTAGCCTCCTTGACAGTTGATGTAAACTATACCTCCTAAGGGCAGAGGTAGGAACTTCCAAATGTAGCCCCAAGTAACTTCTGCCCCTCCTCAGCCTGTAAAGTATACCTCAGCCCCCCAGATGCCCCCTCATCTCTCAGGCCTCCACACCCTTGGCTAAGCTGCTCCTTTAACTTGCATGGCCTTTTTTGGGCTCCTAATCTGTTACTTCTGTGCTCTTTATCTAACTCCTCCAAGTCTAGATTGAACATTGTCCTTTTGCAAAGGGTTACTTAAAATTGTCTCTCTGCTCTCCAATTAGAATTGGGTATGCCAATTCTGCACTCCTACAACACTCTGAAAATATAACTTGAGAGATAAGAAGAGAGCATCCCCAATTACAAATGAAGCATCTGCCTCCTCCATAGCATTTCCTCAGGTAAGGAGTATGTTTCAGTTACCATGGTAACACATAGTAACTAAAACAGAGAAAGACTTTAGTAAATGGATTTAAATCCATTAAGAATCCCATAACTTATATTTTCAAATTTTTATTTACTTTTTTGGGTGTTTTGCCTGTATGTATTTCTGGGCACTGCTTGCATGCCTGGTAGCCACGTCAGATCCCTTACAACTAGATTTACAGATGATTGTGAGCCTCCATGTGGGTTCTGGGAACTGAACCTGGGTCTCTGCAAAAGCAATCATTTCAGTCCCCAACTTAAAATCCTTAAAGGCAAAATGAAGCAACTTACGTGTGTTTTTAGCTGGAGGGGAAAAGCCAGGCAAATATGATGGGAGGTTTTATGTGGTACCCAATTTAAAGAATCTGTATTGCTAAAGTTTTATATGAGAGATTTACAGGCTAATTTTCCAAATTAGAAAAAAAATGGGGAGACAAAACAAAGCAGCTGGCATCATGGGCCAGCATTCCTGTCTTGCCCCTCTACTCTCTGGGAGAGAGAGAGGGAGAGAGGGGGGTGGGGGAGGGAGAAAGAAGGAGAAGGAGAGGAAGAGAGAGATCTGGAGGTAGAACAAAGCATCCAGCATCTGCTGACATTCCTGTCTTGCCCCTATACCTTCTGGGAGAGAGGAGAGGATAAAGCTTTGAACCCATACCCACCAGGAGAGGGAAAGACCCCCCCTGTACCACTGGAAGAAGAGATGGGAAGAATACAGTATAAGAACACATCCAATAACAGAAAGACTTATATGACACCACCAGAGTCTAGGGATTCTACACCAGCAAGACCTGAACATCCGAACTCAGATGAAGCAGAAGAGAATGACCTTAAAAACAACTTAATAAAATGATAGAGGGCCTCAAAGAGGATGAGAAAATCTTTTAAAAATGGAAGAAAAAAACCAAAAAATACAAGAAATCAACAAATCTTTTAAAGAAAGTAAAAAAAAAAACCCAAACAGATGAAGTAAACAATTCAAACAGTTCAAGACATAAAATCTGAAATAGAGACAATAAAGAAAACACAAACTGAGGGAATGCTAGAAATAGAAAAGCTGGGTAAACAACCAGGAACTACAGATGCAAGAATAACCAACAGGATACAAGAGATGGAAGACAGAATCTTAGATGCTGAAAATTTTAAATCCAACAAATTCTTAACATAAAATATCCAGGAAATATGGGACACCATGAAAAGACCAAACCTGAGAATAATAGGTATAGAAGAAGTCAAAGAAGCCCAGCTCAAAGGTGCAGAAAACATATTCAACAAAATCATAGAAGAAAACTTTCCCACCTGAAGAAGGACATGCCTATGAAAGAACAAGTAGCTTGCCCAACACCAAATAGACTGGGCCAAAAAAAAAAGTGTCCCCTGGACACATACTAATCAAAACAAACACAGAATAAAGAAAGAATATTAAGGGCAGTGAAGGAAAAGGGCCAAGTAACATATAAAGGCAAACCTATCAGAATTACACCTAACTTCTCCATGGAAACTCTGAAAGCCAGAGGTCCTGAATAGATGTTCTACAAACACTAAGAGACTGTGGATGCCAGCCCAGCAAAACTCTCAATCACCCTATAGATGGAGAAAGTAAGATATTCCATGACAAACCAGATTTACACAATATATATCCACAAATCCAGCCATACAGAAACTTCTGGAAGGAAAACTCCAACCCAAGGAAGTTACCTACACTCACAAAAACATAGGCAATAGATAACCTCACTTTACCAAAAGCCAGAAATAGGGGAAAACCCACACACAACACCACAACCAAAAGCAAATCCAAAACAAACAAGAATGAACAATCAATGGTCATTAATATCCCTCAATATCAATGGTCTTAACTCACCTATAAAAAGACACAGGCTAACAGAATGGATACAAAAACAGAATCCATCCTTCTGCTGCATACAAGAAATATACCTCACCTTAAAAGACAGATGTTACCTCAGAGTTAGGGTTGGGAAAAGATCTTCCAATCAAATGGCCCTAAGAAGCAAGCTGGTGTAGCTATCCTAATATCTAACAAATTAGACTTCAAACTAAAATAAACCAAAAGAGATGCAGAAGGTCATTTTATATTCATCACAGGAAAAATCCATCAAGATGAAG